AGCAAGCGCTGCTTTGTTTACGTTTCGTATATCTGCGTTTATCTCGTGTATTTTTGTTTCGGTTTCTCCTTTTGAATGATGAATATATACTATTGATAGCTGCTGATATAGACAGTTAATTCCTCTCACGCATGTGCAGAATGCACGTGTTAGTTTGCCGTCGGCTGTAGTCTGTGCGGTGTGTTCAAGCGCAGCTTTTTGGTCCGACGCTGCCGACGTGAGGCGACAACACCGTCGGCTTTCATCGCCGCTAGTTCTTTGAAGCCGGCTTGGTGTGTCCCGGCCTTTCGAGCACAGCTTTTTGGTCCGACGCTGCCGACGTGAGGCAACAACTCTGTCGGCTTTCGGCTTGGTGTGTCCCAGCCTTAATACGTTCAATACTCGACAAGAGACAATAGGCTTGTTCAACTTCATGCGGCGCCGCAAAGATCCGCTTTTAATTCGGCTGCTCTCGCCAGCTGGTGGCAGGCTAGTGTAGTTAATCTCGAATAAGCCTATTGGCAACATGAGGGCTATAAATGCCAAACAATAAAGGTCACATGACACAAACCAACCAATGGGAAACAAGGCACATGACTAAAGCAACCAATCACAAAATGGCACACAGACAAGAGTAGCACATGACATGATCACATGAGGGGCAAGAAACACGTGACAGGAACATGAAAAAAGGCAAAATATCAAAATAAAAGACCAGAAAACCTAAACAAGAAACAAAACCCAAACCCCACGTTACAAAACCAAAAGGACCAGGGAAAGAGAGGAGCACACCAGAATGGCAGTATATTACATACATATATTACAGTATATTATCTTATATTCAATTTTAAAAGCATAACACAACATAGATAGAATTTAAAAAAAGTTCACATACTAGTTTCTCTGAAAACAATGCTACAGGCAGTTATTCTACTTTTGAAAAGTGTGTTCCGTGTCAGAATGTCTGTTTTTTGTTTTGCTCTTTGTGATTCCGCCCACTGCCAATTTACCCAATAGTATTTCGACACCCCGGGTTTCCAGTTGGTGCAAAACACAGCGTATTGCAGCCATGGGAGATAACAAATGAACTGGGTCAGAGATCAGAGATTCTACCCAACCTAAAAATCCTCGGCATCCATCTAAAAAGCTCTATAACAAGAGGAATAATAAAACGCAGATAAATCAACTCAACAACTTACATTATAAGACTCGTTGCCTTCCATTGTCAGTTGTGCTCATTCCTCTTGTGTGTCCTAATCTGGCAACCCGTGTGAGCATTGAGTCTGAAGAGGAGCCTGACAAACGACTCCAATATTTTGAATTTGGACTGCAGTACCCATTTCAACTGCTAGCTCTCAATATTACATACTGCACCCTTAGGAAACTGTTTTTACCTTACTTTATCTTTGAAAATTACTTTCATTGGTATAACTTAATGTCATCTTGAGTACAGTCACTTAAAATAATATATTTAACTTGAATGAAACCAATTAATTGAGTTGTTACCGCATTAAGTATATTTTGGGTAATTTGACTAAATATTTTTTGCAGTATTATATATTCCCAAATGCTTTTTAGGCTCTTAGTGTCTGCACACATGGAATGAGCTGGGCGGCAGCCCCCATAACCGAAAGTGACCTGGGGGTGAAGCGGGCAGAGATTCGACAGGGTGTACGGGAGGTGGTGTTGTGCAAAAACATGGATGGGAAGATTGGCCTCCGCCTCAAAGTCATAGATAATGTATTTATTTAATGTTATAAATACTTTAACTTTTAAACTTGAATTAATATGATTTATTAATCTAACAATCCAACTAGAGAGAATCTATTGCAACATGTCAATAGTCTGCAGTTTTTAGCTGAAAAATGTATCAAATATTTAGATATTTGAATAATTTCTAAGTGTTCTATGTTTTAATGAATGACATCCACATTCACATCATAACATTACACCCCAAAAGTATAATGGGTAATCTCTGATTAACATTTCCAAATGTGTGTTTCAGGGCGTTTGTGCAATTAGTGCAGGCTAACACTCCTGCAGCACTGGCAGGGCTGCGCTTTGGTGATCAGATTCTGCAGATCAATGGCAAATCATGTGCCGGCTGGAGTAGTGATAATGCACATAAGGAGCTTAAGAATGCCAACCCAGAGAAGATCACTTTGGCTGTGCGAGACAGGTACACACACATGCACACACACATCACATCATACATAGAGCATTTTTGCAGGTTTCAAATACTCCGCACAATGATGTTTAATTTATGAGGATCAGGTTGTCATGAATTATTCATGAAGAGATCAGACACAGGAGGGTGTGTGTATGTAGTTTAAGCCTTACAACTGTACAGCAACTATTGTTGTAAACCATTGTTAATACTAAAAAGTATGTAGGTATTAGAGATACTCATGAAAAGAGTTGTCAAAAGAATTTTAATTTGTCAAACTGTATAAGCCAATTAATTGTTTGGCCAAGGCCTGAATTTTAGCAACAGTAATAACAGGAGAGAGGGGAATGAGAAAAGACCTTGAGTCAGAATTCAAGCTCCGAGCACTGTTACACGATACGTGAAAGTATCAGGCTATGGCTCTGACAGCCCAACTACTTTATTTTTGGCAGAGTGAAGTATAAATTTGATAGAAAATAATGTGGAAGATGGAAATGAATCACATTCTCACCTGAAAAACTCTTAAAACTACATTTCATGACACAATAACTGTAATATTTTGAAAATTATGCGGGTTTTGATGTTTCACAAGAACACAAGTACAGACAAGAATGCATATTGAGAAACGGCTATAGTCTGTGTAAAAATATAAAATTATAAAATACACTATTATATATTTTTTGTGTGTTTGTTCACTCTGATGTAAATAAGCCCAACACGCATGAACAGCATGGCGGAACGAGTGAAGGAGACGCTTATAGCATGCGCAAGTGACGATTCTAGTCAACCAATCAACATTCTGCAGTGAGTCTAGCTCCACCCTTTTAGTACCTTTTGCTGTGCTAGGTACACCAACGGAAGGGTACCAAAAAAGTAGTATGGTACGGTTCGCTTTTTTGGTACCGTTCACAACTTCTGATAATGGAAATGGAAATAATCGCGTACTGTACTGTACTGAACCGTACCACTCGGTGGATTATTGCACTGTAACACGTGAACAGATTGATTGATTGATTGATTGATTGATTGCTGCAAGAGAAAACGAATGAGAAGTTCCCCCTTCCCCCTTGGAAGTTGGCCTCCAAAATGGGACCAGTTCAGAACCACTGTTTTAGACAACATTGGCAAGCATTAGTTTATTGTATGTCAACTGTAAACATAATTATTGTTCATTTATGGTAATTCCTCAAATCCAAGAATACAGTAGGCTTATCCCCAGAATTCTACTAGCTCATTAACCAGCTGAGTCTTTAATTCATGCTTTTTTTTTTTTTTTTTACAGTAGATACCATAGAGGACTAATATTTGTGAACATTTCAGGCTCCTATCCGGTCCCCCACTAGATTATTACCTGAACGAGAGGGGGATTTTACAAAATTGCACTTTCTCACTCATTTTAGCCCCAATTAAAAATAATAAATAAAAAACAAAAATAAATAAATATAAAATAAACAAGTACTGTAAAATAAAAATAAAAATGGTGTTTTTTCAATACCAATACATACAGGTAATCACTCACTACAAATAGGACAATTAAAATGGTGAAGCAACCAACTTTTGATACATTGCAAGACTACAGCCATGCAGATATCCAGACCAACGGCATCAAGAATTTTGTATTTGTTTGTATTTTTCCACAACATTCTTTCTTGTATGATACTGCTTAGGTGATATTTTGATAATTAGTAATATTAGTAATATTATTTTTTTTATTAAATGTTAAAGTGGTATCTAAGTTAAATACTTTTTTGTTTTTTTTGTTTTTTCCAGAAAGTATTATTGAAGAAGCGCTTCGCCTGTCTAGTGCCTCCATTATGATACGTGTTGCCAGTGATGACTTTACGCTGACACTGGATTCAGGTCAGACAGCTGATGTGAGAAAAGGAGATTACATTGCTCTTTACCCCCAACTTATACACTTGGATCCTGAAATCTACCCCAATCCTACAGTATGTGTTCAAACTCATTGTCAATTATTTTTTATTAACCAATGAGCTCTCCCAAACCACGAGCTTATACAAATTAGACAGGTTTTAGATCATTTCCATCTGTAGGATATTTATAATATTTAGAATTTAATTATGTTAATTATGTTTATTGTATGGAAGTATGGTAGTATGTATGTAGCTTGCACTTAAATGTATACAAGATTACAAAGATTGCAGATGTTCCCAATGCACAATTCCAATATAGCATGTAATTGTTATAAAATATGTCACTCAATGCATTTAATGTACTTACATAGTAGTAACTTTGATACTGTAATGTTTTAGGCATCACAATGACTTTTTAAACACAGACAGCCATGTACAGTAAATAAAATGTTCCTCTGTTTCCCAGGAGTTCAAATATAACCGCTTCCTGGATGAAAAAGATCAACGAAAGAGTAATTTCTTCAAAAATGAGCGACGGTTAAAGCATTTCTTGTTGCCGTTTGGTTCTGGTGCTAGCGAGTGCCCTGGCCGTTTTTTTGCAGTAAATGAGATTAAACAGTTCCTCGCACTGACACTGTGGCATTATGACCTACAGCTCAGTGACTCTGATGCCACTCTGGTTCCAGACAATACTCGTGCAGGCCTGGGTATACTGCCACCATCACGAGATGTCCTTCTCAGATACAGAAGGAAAACCAACACCACCACAGAACAGTTAAGATAGGAAATGGAAGTAGATGGAAAGTATAAGATGCAAGAAGGAACATGAAGACCTTTGCCTATAGGACAAGTGAAATGGCAGTCTATCTAGTTTCTATATGGTAAATGATGATTTGACTTTGTATGATGGACTGAAATCAATGAAAACGTAGCACTCTACATTGGCCTATAATAATAAAGTCAAATAAAGCCAAAAATCTAAAAATTGCCAGGAAATTACAGGTTCAAAAAGTGTAAGAAATTTACTGTGAAATAAAATGACTGTGAATGGACATTTACTGTTCTTGTTTTACTGTAAATTCACATTATAAAGTTGTCTTTAACTGTGCCACTGTGAGAAATGTATTTGTTTATTACTGTAATTGGTTTGAAGTCACCATAATGGTGATTGATGATCCCATTTGTTTAGGGCTCTGACATTGCACATTTATATTCAAATTTCTGATCTAGTCGTGTCAGAAGTATGATAAATGAAAACATTTGTCAAAATAATGACAAGCTAGAAACACAGTATGATGCTGTTTGTTTACAATAAATTTCTGAGTGCAGTTAGATCCAAGAGAAATCCTACTGTGAAAAGTGTAACTCGGAATATACTTTAACTTCACATTAAAATATTTTTTTTAACAGTGTGCCATCATCAACCCAGGTGAAAAAGAAATATATTTAAATTGTGCTTTTTCAGACATACTTACTATATTTAAATTATACTATACTAAGTGCATATTAAATGTATTATTTTGAAACAACTTTAAGTATATTAAGTGTATTTCAAGATATGTTTAAGTTGGATTTTAATCTATTTGTAATATATTTAATATATTGAAATTGTGTTAAAATTGAACCACTTTAAGTATATTTAGTGCAATTTAAGTGTATTTCTTAAAATACATTTAAAATGTCCTTTTAATACTTCATGAACTACAGTTAGAGTATATTTGAAGCATCGTTTTAATGTACTTCAAGTACATTTCAATTGTATTTCAGCTCATTGGAAATGCATTAGCATTACACTACTAGTATATTATAAAGCTGCTTTTTTCAGTATATACACACACGTACACTTTGATATCTAGAAAACTTTAATGTATTATATATCGTTGTGTACATTACAAATATTCATAAAGTACACTAAAAAAAGAACAGCAGCATATATACTTTGGTGAAAAACAAAACAAAACATACTATTAAATGTATTAAAAATGCACTTGAAATACAAGTATGTTTATAGTATATTTGTATTACTACAAACATACTCAAGTACATTTTAATACATTATAAAAAAAACATAAATAAAAAAAGACTGAAATGCTATGGCAGAGCTATCTTTTCCATTTGTAGAACATTTCAGTTATACCGGCCTTACTAAAAAGTACAGAATTTTACATCAATGAATAAATAAAAATTACAATGCAATTTTCTGAAGAAAAAAAATACATAAAAAAGACTGAAAAACAAAGTGCATAAGTGAATAGCTGTGTGTGCGTGCAAAGACTGAAGATGATAAAGTTCAAGCAACAGAATAGGGAGGGATGGAGGGGGTTTTGGAGGTGGACAAGGAGATGGCGTAGGGATGGTGAGAGGCAAAAGTGCGGGGATGATGGCAGGATGTCAAGTCAAGTCAAGT